GGGGGGGACGACACAGGGTGCTCGCTCATCTCCCACCCCTTTCTGGTCTGCCAGCTACATGCTTGGACAAGGATCTGGTAGGAATTTAGCAGGAGCCCTAGTCAATTTGTTTTGTTTAGTTTTTCTGGTGTGGGATCCCCTTCAAAATCCATACCAGACCAAAAAGAACCTAATAGAATAGATTGGGAAGGACCCACACAGCTTTTTATTTTAACCACTAGCCTACAGGGCACTTATACCCCCTTCCTGCCCAGGCCAATTTCCAGCTTTCAGCGCTGTCACACTTTGAATGACAATTGCACGGTCATGCAACACTGTACCCATATGAAATTTTTATCATTTTTTTGTGACAGATAGAGCTTTATTTTGGTAGTATTTAATCACCTCTGGGATTTTTATTTTTTCTTAAACAAACCAAAAACCACTGAAAATTTTGAAAAAAAAAGTTTTTTTAGTTTTTGTTATAAAATTTTGTAAATAAGTGATTTTTCTCCTTCACTGATGTGCTCTAATGAGGCTGCAGTGATGAGAGGCACTGATGGGGGCATTGACATGCATCACTGAAAGGCAGCACTGATACATGGCACTGATACGCGGCACTGACTTGCACTGATGGGTGACACTGAAAGGCAGCTCAGATGGGCACGGATATGGGCATTGATGTGCACTGATATGTGGCATTGATCTGGCACTGGCATGAGGCACTGATGGACACTGACAGGTGGCACTGCTGGGGCTACAATGATCATCAGGACACACTGATCATCAGTGCCCTGATGATCAGTGTACATGTCCCCTCCGCGGAAAGCCGATTACCGGCTCTCCTCTCGAGCTGTCAGCGTGACAGCTCGAGAGGAGAGAAATGCTGATAACCGGCATTTCCCTATTTACATGTGATCAGCTGTGATTGGACACAGCTGATCACATGACCGAGCCAACATCTTCGGCTCTTTCCGTGATCGGTGATCCACTGTGTCCGAGGGACACAGCGCACCGCTGATCGCCGCGCGCTCCCTGAGCCACGCATGCGCGGTGAGAATGGGAGGCCGTCATGTGACGTCCTCCCAGAACAAGAAAACCACCTTGCGTCCGTCATATTACTATATGGCGGGCGGGAGGTGGTTAATGTCAGCTTTTTTGTTTACATTCTGCTGTCAGAGGGGAATCCCCCACTGACAGCAGGGATGACTCATCACTGTTCAGATGCCAGCAGCCCTGACCCTAACAACCAATGGCTGACAGCAGGGATGAGTAGCATTAAAAAATGCATTACAAAATATCAAAATCGCATCAATGCAGCTGCACTAGAAGAATCGCACAGCACCAGTGTAAATCTAGCCTACAAATGTTTCAATTACAATAAAATATAGCCCGAGCCAATATGGTTTATGCTTTAAGAAAATCTTTATATTACTACTCTGCATGATCTTTAACAAAACACAGAACAAATAACAGTCTTAGGCTCTGAGAAGCAATCAATATTAGAATTGTTAATTGCAGTGAGACACTGCTCAATAGACAAGCTTTCGGCAATATGCTGTGATGCAGCATTTCTGACACAACAAATGGGATGAGACAGGGAACCTCGCACACCACAGACACACAACCTGGACAGTCTTCACACATGGCTGCTTGTGCTTGAGGGAATCACGGATGTTCCTATTGCCTGATTCCAGGGGCACTGAAGTGTGATCTTCAAGGTTTGGAAGCCAAATGCAATATGTAACTGAACACAGGGCAGTCTGGTAAGATTATGGAAATTAGCCTAGTGCTATGGATATTCACATATTTAATGCTTTTACATAATGCTTAAATCAGCAAAAATGAGATTATAATGGACAAGTAAACCAGTATGAAAAAATAAACTCTGAAGTAAAGAAGAACCCCATCCCTTTCAGAGTCAGAACGGGGCTTTAGTAGGTGGTGGGGTGTATATGTAGAAGAGCGCTCTACTTAAAGCGGGGGGTTCCACTCACCCTGTCAAAAAATAAAGTCAGCAGCTACAAAAACTGTAGCTGATGACTTTTAAAAAACACACACTTACCTGTCCCTCGGTCCCGTGGTGTGTCCCCCGCAGCCCGTTTCACCGGCTGTCCTGTATTCCAGGAGGCCGACATCTTCAGTGTGGGCACCAGGCTCTGATAGCTTGCATAGGTAATTTTTCTCCTTCACTGATATGCATTGATAAGGCTACACTGATAGGCAGCACTGATGAGGTGGCACTGATGAGGTGGCACTGATATGCAGCAATGATTGGCACTGCTGACTGGCGGCACTGCAGGGCGCAACTGCTGGGCAGCATGATCATCACTGTCCTGATGATCAGTGCAGAAGTTCTCTGTGACATTTGCTGGTTATAGGCAGTACTTTCCTCACGCTGTGACAGTGTGAGGAAAGTGCTGCCAATAACCGGCAACTGTATTTTCTTGGTGATCTGTGTCATTGGACACACTGATCTCGTGGTAAAAGGCCACTGTGATTGTCCTTTTACCTGCCAGGTGCACGCCGCTGGGGGTGTGCGGGAGGGCATATGACGCCCTCCCAGAACTGGACAACTGTGCTGTAGCCGTCATTCAGCTATAGCGTGGCTGTGAAGTGGTTAAATAACTAAAAAAAAGTGGGTTTTTTTTATATTTGACTGCATTTTATTCTTAATTGCAAGATCTGCCACTGATTCTGCTACTGTTACTTTTATTTTTTCAGTTATAACGGCCAGTGTCAATACTGCCCAATACGGTACAGTACTGTTCATTCCCACATCACCAATAAATGTTAATGCCTGTTCGCTGAACCTTACTGAATCAAGGACAATGACTCTGGCCTATAGCAGTATTTGGCAAGTGAGAAAAAACTATTCTGATATATGATAAATGCGTTTTTCACCTTTCTTTTTGTCCATTTTTTGTATCTCAATGCTGCTGATAGTCTCCAGCCTTTTCAGCCACTTCATGTCTATATACACTCAATCCAGAATTGGCTGCACATTATTTCTCTGGATTTGCTTCCTGGTAGTGACTACAGTGGACCAATAAGTGCCTGAACAAGGACCCTTATGGTAGGATTACCAGATATTATGTTAATAAAAGTAGCAAATTTGCTTACATCTGGAGCAGTGGTTCTCAACCTTTCTAATGCCGCGACCCCTTAATACAGTTCCTCATGTTGTGGTGACCCCCAACCATAAAATTATTTTCGTTGCTACTTCATAACTGTAATTTTGCAGTGGGAGGACTAGTGCCACATCATTGGTGTCAGTGGAAGGAGTAGTGCCCCATCACTGTGTGTGGGAGGAGTGTGCAGTGGGGGGGGGGGAATAGTGCCCCATCGTTGGTGTCAGGGGGGGGAATAGTGCCCCATCGTTGGTGTCAGGGGGGGGAATAGTGCCCCATCGTTGGTGTCAGTGGGGGGGAATAGTGCCCCATCGTTGGTGTCAGGGGGGGGAATAGTGCCCCATCGTTGGGTCAGTGGGGGGAATAGTGCCCCATCGTTGGTGTCAGTGGGGGAATAGTGCCCCATCGTTGGTGTCAGTGGGGGGAATAGTGCCCCATCGTTGGTGTCAGTGGGGGGAATAGTGCCCCATCGTTGGTGTCAGTGGGGGGAATAGTGCCCCATCGTTGGTGTCAGTGGGGGGAATAGTGCCCCATCCGTGGTGTCAGTGGGGGGAATAGTGCCCCACCGCTGTGGTGTCAGTGGGGGGAATAGTGCCCCATCGTTGGTGTCAGTGGGGGGAATAGTGCCCCATCCGTTGGTGTCAGTGGGGGGAATAGTGCCCCATCGCTTGGTGTCAGTGGGGGGAATAGTGCCCCATCCGTTGGTGTCAGTGGGGGGGGGGGAATAGTGCCCCATCCGTTGGTGTCAGTGGGGGGAATAGTGCCCCATCGTGGTGTCAGTGGGGGGAATAGTGCCCCATCGTGGTGTCAGTGGGGGGAATAGTGCCCCATCGTTGGTGTCAGTGGGGGGAATAGTGCCCCATCCGTTGGTGTCAGTGGGGGGGGGGAATAGTGCCCCACGCTGGTGTCAGTGGGGGGAATAGTGCCCCATCGTGGTGTCAGTGGGGGGAATAGTGCCCCACCGTTGGTGTCAGTGGGGGGAATAGTGCCCCATCGTTGGTGTCAGTGGGGGGAATAGGGGGTCAGTGGGGGGAATAGTGCCCCATCGCTGGTGTCAGTGGGGGAATAGTGCCCCACCGTTGGGGGGAATAGTGCCCCATGTCAGTGGGGGGAATAGTGCCCCATCGTGGTGTCAGTGGGGGGAATAGTGCCCCATCGCTGGTTGGTGTCAGTGGGGGGGGAATAGTGCCCCATCGTGGTGTCAGTGGGGGAAATAGTGCCCCACCGTTGGTGTCAGTGGGGGGGGAATAGTGCCCCATCGTTGGTGTCAGTGGGGGGAATAGTGCCCCACCGTTGGTGTCAGTGGGGGGAATAGTGCCCCATCGCTGGTGTCAGTGGGGGGAATAGTGCCCCATCGCGTTGGTGTCAGTGGGGGGAATAGTGCCCCACCGTTGGTGTCAGTGGGGGGAATAGTGCCCCATCGCTTGGTGTCAGTGGGGGGAATAGTGCCCCATCGCTGGTGTCAGTGGGGGGAATAGTGCCCCATCGTGGGTGTCAGTGGGGGGAATAGTGCCCCATCGCTGGTGTCAGTGGGGGGAATAGTGCCCCATCGCTGGTGTCAGTGGGGGGGGAATAGTGCCCCATCGCTGGTGTCAGTGGGGGGGGGAATAGTGCCCCATCGCTGGTGTCAGTGGGGGGGGAATAGTGCCCCATCGCTGGTGTCAGTGGGGGGAATAGTGCCCCATCGCTGGTGTCAGTGGGGGGAATAGTGCCCCATCGTCTGGTGTCAGTGGGGGGGGGGAATAGTGCCCCATCGCTGGTGTCAGTGGGGGGAATAGTGCCCCATCGTTGGTGTCAGTGGGGGGAATAGTGCCCCATCGTGTGGGGGGGAATGTCAGTGGGTGTCAGTGGGGGAATAGTGCCCCATCGTTGGTGTCAGTGGGGGAATAGTGCCCCATCGTTGGTGTCAGTGGGAGGAATAGTGCCCCCTCGTTGGTGTCATGATGTCAGTGTGGTGGAGGGGTGGAAATAGTGCCCCATCTTTGGGGGGGAATCAGGGGGGGGGGGGGAATAGTGCCCCATCATTGGTGTCCCCAGTGGGGGGGGGGAATAGTGCCCCATCTTGGTGTCAGTGGGGGGGGGAATAGTGCCCCATCGTTGGTGTCAGTGGGGGGGGGAGGAATAGTGCCCCATCGTTGGTGTCAGTGGGGGGAAATAGTGCCCCATCATTGGTGTCAGTGCGGGGGGGGGAGAAATAGTGCCCCATTGTTGGTATTAGTCACACAAATGATGGGGCACTATTCCTCCCACTGACACCAATGATACTTACCTTGCTGACCCCTGTTCCAGCCTGGGCTCGCTCTCTCACTTACCTGTCAGCTGTCTTCCTTCTCTGGCCGCTCTCCTCTTCACTTACTCCGGCAGTTCCCTCGATCTTCTTAGATCTACGCGCGCTGCCGCTCGGCTCCTCCTCTCCAAGCTCCACCTCCTCGCCGGTGATTGGCTGCCTGTGTGCCTCTCCTGAGCTACAGTTCCGGTGGCCAATCAGCGGCGAGGAGGCGGAGTTGTTGAGGGATCCCGGAGGTGTGGCCAGGTGACAGGGCAGCGTATCATCCCGCCCACACATCGACTGAGTCAGAGGAGCGGTGTCTCGGTTCCTAAGACCATCGGAAATATGTGTTTTCCGATGGTCTTAGGCGACCCCTGGGAAATGGTCGTTCGACCCCCAAAGGGGTCGCGACCCCCAGGTTGAGAACCGCTGATCTGGAGGAAGAAGACTGTGATGAGACACTGTGGTTCTCAACCTCAACCCAATTCAGGATACAGTAGTGAGGGAGGGGGGACAGCAGGAGGAATCATAGCGTCTGATGGGGGAAACACTACTTACCGTCTTCTTTTACAGGTTACTTCCAAGCATATTTGCTTCAAGATCACATTAAGATTTTATTTTAATTAAATACCGTGGATTATTACCTTTTATTCAGCCATAACCATGTTATACATGCGTTTCTTGTAGTTATACAATTAAAGGTTATATCTCTATCTCTCAATCATTCCTTTTCCTATATACACTGCTCAAAAAAATTAAAGGAACACTTTTTATTCAGAGCATAGCATCAAGTCAATTAAACTCCTGTGATATTGATCTGGTCAGTTAAGTAGCAGAGGGGGTTGTTAATCAGTTTCAACTGCTTTGGTGTTAATGAAATTGACAAGTGCACTAGATGGGCAACAATGAGACAACCCCCATAACAGGAACGGTTTTACAGGTGGAGGCCACTGACATTTTTACCCTACTCATCTTTTCTGTTTTTCACTAGTTTACATTTGGCTAGGGTCAGTGTCACTAATGGTAGCATGAGGCGATACCTGGACTCTGCAGAGGTTGCACAGGCAGTCCATCTCCTCCAGGATGGCACATCAATACGTGCCATTGACAGAAGGTTTGCTGTGTCTCCCACCACAGTCTCAAGAGCATGGAGGAGATTCCAGGAGAAAGGCAGTTACTTTAGGAGAGCTGGACAGGGCTGTAGAAAGTCCTTAACCCATCAGCAGGACCGGTATCTGCTGCACCTTTGTGCAAGGAGGACAGGATGAGCACTGCCAGAGCCCTATAAAATGACCTCCAGCAGGACACTGGTGTGAATGTCTCTGATCAAACAATCAGAAACAGACTTCATGAGGGTGGCCTAGGGGCCCGACATCCTTTAGTGGGCCCTGTGCTCACTGCCCGGCACCATAGAGCTCGATTGGCATTTGCCATTGAACACCAGAATTGGCAGGTCCGCCACTGGCACCCTGTGCTTTTCACAGATGAGAGCAGGTTCACCCTGAGCACATGTGACAGATGGGAAAGGATCTGGAGAAGCCACGGAGCATGTTATGTTTCTTGTAATATCATTCAGCATGACCATTTTGGTGGTGGGTCAGTGTTGGTCTGTGGAGGCACGTCCATGGAGGGACGCACAGAACTCTACAGGCTAGACCAGCAATGGGCAAACTACGGCCCGGCGGACCTTTTAATCCGGCCCGCGGAGCGTGATACTGTCAGGGTGGCTGTCAGGATGTGTGTAGGCGGGGCAGCGTGACGAACGTGAGGGGAGCTAGGCTCCTCTCACAGTCCGCCCTGAAGACCGGTGTAGCGTGAAAATCTGTCTCCTATGAGGATCTGTCCCCCTCGACGTATCTGCGCATGTGCCAGAGATCGCCGATCGGCTGCTAATGCCTGAAACTGGCACATGCGCAGATACGTCGAGGGGGACAGATCCTCATAGGAGACAGATTTTCATGCTACACCGGAACGGCGCGGGAACACGGCGAGAGGAACGTGCGGAGCAAAGGTAAGTGAATTGACACAGGGGGGACTTGGGGACTTAATATGGGGGATGAATTACTATAGGGGATGAATTACTATAGGGGGGATGAATTACTATATGGGAATGAATTACTATAGGGGGGATGAATTACTATATGGGGGATGAATTACTATGGGGAATAAATTACTATAGGGGGGATGAATTACTATAGGGGGGATGAATTACTATATGGGGGATGAATTAATATGGGGAATGAATTACTATATGGGGGATGAATTACTATAGGGGGGATGAATTACTATAGGGGGGATGAATTACTATAGGGGGGATGAATTACTATATGGGAGATGAATTACTATATGGGGGATGAATTACTATAGGGGGGATGAATTACTATATGGGGGATGAATTACTATGGGGGGATTAATTACTATATGGGGGATTAATTACTATGGGGGATGAATTACTATGGGGAATAAATTACTATATGGGGGATGAATTACTATATGGGGGATGAATTACTATATGGGGGATGAATTACTATATGGGGGATGAATTACTATATGGGGGATGAATTACCATGGGGGATGAATTACTATATGGGGGATGAATTACTATATGGGGGATGAATTACTATATGGGGGATGAATTACTATGCTTACTATGGGGGAATATTACTATACTTACTATGGATGACACATACACATTATTCATCTACTCTTGGTCCGGCCCCCGGGTCCAATATATGAACCCATTGCGGCCCTCAAGTCAAAAAGTTTGCCCACCCCTGGGCTAGACAATGGTTCCCTGACTGCCATTAGGCATCAGGATAAAATCCATGGACCAACTGTCAGACCTTATGCTGGTTCAGTGGGACCTGGATTCCTCTTGGTGCATGACAATGCCTCATGTGACAAGAGTATGCAGAAAGTTCCTGGACGATGAAGGAATTGATACCATTGAATGGCTGGCACGCTCGCCTGACCTAAATCCAATAGAACAAATCTGGGATATCATGTTTTGGTCCTTCTGACGCCAGCAGGTTGCACCTCAGACTGTCCAGGAGCTCAGTGATGCCCTGTTTGAGATCTGGGAGGAAATACCCCAGTACACCATCCATCATCTCATTAGGAGCATGCCCAGATGTTGTCAGGCATGCATACAAGCACATGGGGGCCATACAAACTACTGAGTATCATTTTGAGTTGCTGCAGTGAAATTTCAGAAAAAGGGACTAGCCTGCTGCATCAATTTTTCACTTTGATTTTCAGTGTGTCTTTGAATTCAGTCCTCTGTAGGTTAATAATGTTAATTTCCATCAAACGATGGGGCATCCTTACGTCCCCAACACATTACCCAGTACAGATATCAAACATGATATTTTTCCCTATTGAGATCTGATGTGTTTTCAAAGTGTTCCTTTAATTTTTTTTGAGCAGTGTATTATTCCTTGGATTGATAATAATCATTCAAATTTCTTATAATAATTTTACAATGGTAGCTTTGTGTCACCAATACCCATAACTAAAATTTTAATACATAAATACTGTAGATGTACTATCTAGATTAAGGCAAAAAGAGGCTCCTAATGCAGATACAAATCCAGTGCCCTTCAGCATTTTCCCCCGTGGCTAACACTCTTTCAGACGGGAAGGTCCACCCATCGGATCAGTGGAGGCAAAAAGGGGACTGTGGAATAATGTGGGGGAAAAAAAAAAGCTGTACTGCAAATATATTTTAAAGCAATACAGCAGGAAATAAAAGACTGATGAATAGTTGTCTGCATTGAACAACAAAGCTCAATATATAAACCTTGTACATCCTGTGCCAGCATCCTTCTGCATACAAGGCTTTATGTGTGTTCACAACCATAAATTATATTGCAGACTGTATATTTCAACTTCAGCACAAGACCGCAGAGCATGTTGGTGGGACCAGTGAAGATGTTATGTTGATATAAATTTAATAGATTACCCAATAGACCTTCAACACAAATCATGATTTCTAAATGAAAGTTAAAAAAAAAAAATCATTTGACCTTCAGCTTTCAGGCAAATCCAAACATTTGCAAGTGAACATTATTGGGTTCAGGGAACACAGTGAAGCAGCCACATCATCAATTAGAAGACCTGGAACAACTGTCGACTCTACAAAGAGGCAGAGATCTGCAGGTTCCTCTCTTGCAGCAGATGGTGAGCAAGAAGAAGGGGTAGCAGCTCAGCATGGATGAGCCCAGCAGGAAGTGACATGTGAGCGAAGCGGTCACCACTATGTAAAGAGGGCAAACATCTAAGTTGTGAGGGCATACAGGCAAACCATTATATTAACCAAGAATAAACGACCAAAGGCACAGACAAAAGACTGCAGCTAGTAGGAGATTTATTTTGGGAACAGGGCAATGCATGTCTGTTAATATCTATTTATTTAAGATTTAATTTTATCTCAAGTAAAATACAAATCCAAAAACAAAATTTCTACATATATACACAAACAAAAAAAAAAAAATTCCTGGGTTTTTGCATAAATGCTTTTAAAATGTGTCCAGATATTTATGGAATTCTATTTCAATAATTTTTTCATTATTTTCCACAAAGAGATGAAAATATACAGTAACAGTACTTTCCAGTAGCAAAAATGTATAATTGTACAAAGTGCTAGGAAAAGATAAGCTCAAAACATCCAAAGAGAAACTTAGAGGCACAGTGACCAACAATATGCTGCAATATCAAACAATATTCATCAGATCTAATTCCGGCTATCTTACACATATGTGTTCCTATCCAGGAGCAATTGAGCAAGACAGCTAAAATAAATCTTTTTGTAACAACAAAGGAGCTCTCACACAGTACCCAATAATTTGCCCAATAATAAAGAGGGGGAAAATGGGCCCGAGGTAAAGTGGTAGTAAAATCTGGGGGTTAAAAATGAAAAAACTGGTCCCCTGCAAGT